TTTAACATAACAGCAAATGTACAACGTTTCGACAAGGGGTACCTGATGATGACAAAACCTAGTCGAAACGTTGTACATTTGCTGTTATGTTAAACTTATATTAAAGTTTATCTTCATTACCCATTCAAGCCGTCTCCAGCCATTATATACCAGTACTATGTTTACCAGTTTTTGATGGGTACGTACTACTTTGATTCATAGCTTGTAGCACCCAAGCTAGGTCTGGATCCTACAGTTGTTCTTCCTGATGTTCCTGATTGGTCATTCATGTTGTCCAACCAAAAGTAGAATTGTTACTACTCGTATGGTTTGTCATCACTGTTGCTGCAATTTAGTGTCCAGGGTGTGAGTATTCAGTGAATGATCTTAAAAATTAGTAAGATAATCCATCAGCGTTTCCATGATGATGACCCGGGCAATATTGTATAACAAAGTTGTACTCTTGCAGTGTGGTTGTTCATTGAACAATAATATGTTTTGGGTTTTGGAGGTTCATTAGCCATTTCAGTGATGTATGGTCCACTCGAATGGTAAATTCCCCACAATGTAAGTAGTGGCGCTAATGTTTGACAAATGCTACAGCTCCCAGCAGTTCTTTCTTTGACACACAGCATTGGTCACTCGACATATTACTCGCATATGCGGTCATGCACTGCGTACTGTCCTGTACTTGTGGGAAGACCGTGCAAGTTTCCCTATTCATTGGCATCTGTATCCAGGATGAATTTGCAATCTCGATAAGGATAAGTCAGTACTGGTGCTTCAACTAAGGAATGCATTAAGAATTGGAACTCGTTTTCGAATCCTGATGACTATACAAAACAAGCGGCCAATTGCCGAAAATAGGCTTAAATATTGAAAGTTTTATTTCTGTACTTTTTAATGGTTTGTTTGTTTGTTTGAAGTTAAGCACAAAGCTACACAATGGGCTATCTGTTCTTTGCCCACCACGAGTATCGAAACTCGGTTTCTAGCGTTGTAAGTCCACAGACATACCACTGTGCCACTGGGGATCCTTTTTTACTGGTGTCTGCCGTATTGTCAAAATGTAGTGCCATCATTATGAAAATTAAAAAAAGAAGAATGTACGTATATACTTTTGTGCGGTGAAAAAAGTACCTATTGAGGCGGTTGAAAACATTATTTTTATATTTTACTTAATTATTTTTTTACTTTTCAAAATATTTTTTATAATTTTCTCTTTTTAATATCATTTTTACTTTTTGTTAGTTTTTTTTTGTAGTTAAGCACAAAAGCTATACAATGGGCTATCTGCGTTCTGCCCACCACGGGTATCGGAACCCGGTTTCTAGCGTTATAGGTCCGCAGACATTCCGCTGTGCCACAGGGGTGAATTTTTGTGTTAGTATATATACACATTTATTTACCACAGGCACTTATAACTTCATACGAAAGGATAAATATATATTTATAACCGTTTCGTTGTGCAAATAGTAATAGTAATGTAACCTCTGTTAAACTTGTTATATTAATCCACTCATGTAACCTTTTTACAAAAACGGCTAAATAATATAACCGAAAAAAAAAGGAGCTTCAACAATAATATTAAAACACGCACTGCTAACGATACTAGGCCTGTAAGGTTTGATAAAAAGCATTTTGTTTATTTCCTTTGCAAGTGAAATAAATATATCTGCTAGACTCGTATATACGCATATTTTAGCAGACAATCATGCTTCTGAAAGTGATTACCTTTTTTATCCTGTTCGTATCAACGACCTGGTACTATTCCAAGAAAGATTGTACAGCATGTAATGTACATTTCTGATTCAGAATTTATATGCTATAATTGTTATAAGGAACGACGTATACTGATTGGTAAATAAGATTTGCATGAACATTCACGTAATATATCTTTGTGAACGCAAATAAAAGTCTTAACCAACAAAAGTCATGCGTTAGCAAGTAGTATACGAAATATTTACCATGAAACTGTACATATGATCCGTAAAAAAACAAAAAAACTCCTCAAGTTGCCATTCACTACACACTCATTGAAAAAACATTTCCAATCAAGTAAGTACTCTGAAGCCCATTTTCTCAATGATGGCATCATATTTTTACGGTGCATTAGGCATCAAGAGAAAGTAGAGAAAATAAACCTTGGTCATTTACCTATCAATTATAGCAGACAGTGGCACGGCTATCTTGAGAAATTGGCTACAAACCGTTAAGTAATATGACGTGAAGGTGAGACCCAGTCCATGACGACTGCAATCTTTGTAGGATTAGTGGTCACTACATCTCTCAAATTATGCCACTGAGTAACTGTACTTTTGATTTAATGAGTTCAAACTTTCTGGGTTTTAATTTTAAACGTGAATCTTTAATGCACTAGAAACCATTCTCAGATTCTTGACCAGATTCTTGAAAGATGCAACCGAAGATAAGCATGTCATCAACATAAATATCTCTTCCATTGCAGTCCTCTAAATGTAAGCTTCTGGAGTCATTCACTGCTTATATTTATTACTTATTTTCTAAATCCTTTTCCCCCATCTCAGGATTGATGTGTTTTATATATAACCTCCATCTCAAGACTTGAGGGGTTTTATATGCACCATATTTAGAGATTTAAGTGTTTCAAACTCCCATACCTACACATTTATACTTTTTGGATAATCGTACATTCACTTTGAGGTTAATTTCATGGGTTTAAACATATTTTAATTATTGATGTTTACAAATCATATTTCTAAAGTTGCAACTGTCATAGTTAAGAACATTTAAATAATATCGAGAGTGCTGTTAGTTACAACAATATAAATATTGTAAGAGCATTTTGAAATTACCCTAGCTTCAGTAGTTGCTATTTAAAACACTGTGCTACAAATAACATATTGAAAAAGTTGTCTTCGAACACTTCTTAGTTTTAAGTAATATTGTGCAAGCATTTTGAATTTGTCAGATGTATCCTGTATTTAGGCAAAGGTTAAAAGTTTTTCATTTAAAAGTGGTAATTCACTACCTCTTTCCATTGACTTCGACTGTATTTTACACACGAGTTTGTCCAATAAAAAGCATTTCTTTCCATAGAAATTTGGAATGCAAATGTGGTCCTCTTTGTCATCTGAAAGAATGACCTAGGATAATCTTGAACATGATACAGTGGTTGTGATATCAATTACCTGGCTAGTTTGTGTCAATTCTTCCTCTTTTACTATACTGATGACCATTCCAACTGTAAACTGAATAACCAAAAGTTTGTAATTATAGCCTTGTACAGGTATAAAACAAACACTTGAACAAATTACTAACATTGTTCGAGAAGCCTGTTTTTCATATAGAAAATGATGTATTTCATATGTACCAGTTTTATCACTGCAGAAGATAGTAACAATTCATTAGGCTATATCTCTGTGGTACATCATGAAACATCATTTTTCATATTAGAGGAAATTACCACATCCTTTTTAACATGCATACAGGAAGTCCACTTTGTACAGGCCCAATATGGTCGGTACTGGATGGTTTTTGTTGCAGTTAAAATCTTGCACAAGTGCTAATGACTGACAATTTCTGCAGTAGGTCTATCCTTAAGATACCAACGCCTGAACTCAAACAACTACCTTTGTTCAGCACTGACACTTATGTCCAGCTTGTTGTCATTCATTGGAATAATGTGTTTTCCTGACCGGCTAGAATGGTGACTTAACTCGGAATGCTTGATACACAGTGAGTTTAAGTACGGCTCTGGCTGCCCCAATATTCGGTGAAAACTTAATCTCGTATCCATGTATCTTTACGGATACATACCGCGTGACCCCCAGTCTATAGTTTTCTGAAACAAACACCATAACATTGTGTATAATGTGAATGCTGTATAGTCGTTAAACTTAGCAGCCAGATCCAACTCAGGCCTCGCTAATTTAAACTAGATGGATTTACTGTGCTCATGGTCTATTGTTGATCTTCCTGTATCTATTGCAGAATTAGTCTATATATCACTCACGTCCACTGGACCTGTCTGGAGATAGGATATGAATATTCGTGAAAATATGAGCAGGTTAGCCAAAGTTCACACATGCACTCCTTACCTCATGCTCTTGGCGCCTTCAGGAGTCCAACTTCAAATGCATTTGTGGCACAACCATAGCAACTAGATCAGGAAAGCCCTTTTGTTCCATAGGGAATATGGTAGCTGTAAAAGAGCTAATGGAGTACAGGTTAGAACATGCACATCTTCAGTGTTTTAGGGGTCTTTACGAACTTTAGAGGTTGTTTCTTAGCTGGGTCCGTAGCTGCAGTTGCTACTGCTACTGGTTTCTCCTTCTGCTCCAGCAAGCTGCTTGATGTGACCATCACTAAAAGTGAAACCACTTTCTAAGATTTTTCTCAGCATATGTGGTACCACATGGGTTCCTTTAATTGATTCCGTAATAAATTCCTTGATGAGCTCCTTCCTCATTCTGATCTTAAGGAGACAAGGTAAGAAACAATTAACCTAATTGCCCCGGGGTTTGGATTCCTGATTGGTTAACAGCTGAAAAAGATTTTCATTTCATCCTTCTATAACAAGTATAGGATATATTTTTATACAGGTATTTTTCAGGTAATTTATTTTCTAAATTTTCATTTTCTTGCAAAAACACTTAATGTAGCTCTGACCTACTTCTTAACCAGATGTTTAAAGGCTGGGAACTTTTGCTTAGATAAAAGTTATATATGGGAATGATTAAAAGTTTTCATCACTTTAGCCTTGTGTCTGTTTTCATTCCTTGGGGGTGGGGGATAAGCTCATCTGAAAGGACGACACAAGTGCTTGTAAAAATTGTTATTAGTAGGGATATTCTCCCTGTAGGTGTTATTTGAAACAGTCGGTGACACATGCAGCTTGGGATTGTGGTATACCACACTTGGACCCTTTGTATAATTGAAAAGGTTCAGTATGAATCAACTCTTCCTTTTCATGTTCTGCACTAACGTGTGTAGAAAAGCTCCATCTTCATCGTTGCAGCCAGTGAAAGCCAAAGAAAGTCGTTAGTCTGGTAAATACACTAACTACACTCGATCTAAATAAAGTTTACTTGTTCATTTGTGTTTGTGTCGTTTTCCTTTGCTGTTCGTGTCTGATTTGTTTTCTCTTGATAAAATTTCTAGAATCTTCATTCTTACGGATACTTTTAAGTATTTTGTGGATATCAGTGTGTACATAAACACCACATTTGTATCTCCTTTGATATGGCAGAGTATAAAGAAAAAGGATGTTTTCTTATCAATAAACAACAAATCTCCCTTCTTCCTTCTTTCACCAATATTTTAGTAAATGAGAAATTATTCTTTCGCGCCAATAACTGTTAATGTTTGATACTTTTTGAAATGTGAAAGACTATTTTGGAACTATTTTAACGCATTTCTAAGACTCCGTGATAATTTCTATGAAATTATCTCAACAACAAACTTCTTAAAACTATTATATAACCCTCCTCCAGAGATAAACAAACTATGTTCATGAACAATCATGAAATAGTCTACTTCTTTTAAATATCTGTACCCCAATGTAGCACAGCGGTATGTCTGCGGACTTGCAACGCTATATTCCGGGTTTCGATACCTGTGGTGGGCAGAGCACAGATAGTCCATTGTGTAGCTTTGTGCGTAATTACAAACAAACAAATTTAAATATCTGTAAAAATTCATCGTTGTTATTATTAAGATTTTATATAGGATTCGAAGACATTATGAATTAAAATCTAATAAATATAATACACCTCTTTAATTGCCCCTTTTTCACCAAAATTTACATTTTTTTCAACCAGTTTTCCTGTGGAATATTTTATTGTAGACCTAATTTTTCAATAATCAATTATTTCATATTTTATGAGCAATTTAATAATTAATTTACTTTCTTCCTTTCTTGCTCCTTCACTGAATGAGTTGGAAGAGAACACGAAATATTTAGTTTGCATCTGTCTTGGTTCGTAATTTTACTGATTTTTCAAAATTACATTATCCAGTATTCCATAAAGAAGAATAATTTGATATTTGTGTGTAGTATAAAGAATAATTTCAGCGTTATTTTTATGATCAAAATTAAGTTTAGAGGTTCTTATTTCACTTTACTCATCTTTTAATATATTTTTTATGCTGTTGTATCTTCGTTCTTCCATCACTTTATCAAAGTAGTTCCTAAACCTGGTTTAGGTATAAAGTTACTTTATGGGTTGTCTAAAGTAACTTACAGTTTGTTTCAGAGCAAAGCTACATAGGCCTATCTGCTGTGTCAATCGTGGGTAATCGAACCCTAAATTTTAGAGTTGTAAGTCCGTAAACTTACCGCTGTCCCACCAGAGGACGCAACTTACAGCTAAATGTTGTTGTTGTTGTTGCTTTTCTGTTCGTTTATTTTGAATGCCAGTACAGGCAAAAATATGAATTAGTCTGCAGAATTGAAATAACTGAAGAATAAGATGTTACTGGATCCTAGTTGAAGTAGTTCTTAACATTCTTTACTTGGGCTACCAGACGAAAGACACACTTCTCTAGATGCAACATTTATTAGACTCCTAAAAGGCAGGTGCCATTATTATAGCTCTATTTCTAGCTTTTCATGTTCTTACGTTATTTAATAACAGTGTCCTACCCCTTAATTGATCTGTATAAAATATAATAGAGTGTATCGTAATAGCTAAAGGAAATAAAAATTAGGCAACTTTTTTGCCAAACATTTAAGCAAGCATGTGTTTCTCGGTTTTAGTGTGTCATGCCAATACGAGTGATGAAGCTGATTGGTGTAAGAGTATTGATAATTACCAATGCTGCTGGGAGTGTAAACCAAAACTTCTCTGTGGGTGACATTATGCTAATCAAAGACCACATAAACTTTTCGGGACTTGGTAGCAATAATCCTTTGCGTGGTAAAAATGATGACAGGTAAGCGTATGTATATATGTGTGCTAATGTGTTTATATATGTATATATGTGTACTAATGTGTTTATATATGTATATATGTGTACTAATGTGTTG